CACCTAGAAATGTAAGTGTCATTATTTATGTTACTAATGTTTGTTAAAACCCATATATTTTTTCCTTTAAAAAGAAAACAAAACATTTGCCCAAAAAAAAAAAAAACACACTTTACATTTTACATACAGTACATAGTGATCAGGGGTTGCAGAGCACCAAAATGTACGAAAAATTAAATCAGTGAAAAATTGGTTCAGATAAAATCAATAAAAAAAAAAAGGGGGAAAAAATCAGTTTCTTTGCACAAAGCTATCAGATGACTGATTCCCCCACCCCCCACCATTTTTGGAGCTTTTAGTTGTATGGAAAATATATATTACCGTTCAAAAGTTTGCGGTCAGTATGTTTTTTAGTTTTTTTTAACAAGTTAATAGTTTTATTCAGCAAGTTGATCAAATGTGATCATAAAGATGTTTACATTTTTAATAAATATTTCTATTTCAAATACAGTAAATGCTGTTCTTTTAACTTTCTATTTCGAATCCTGAAAAAAATGTATCACCATTTCAACAAAAATGAATCAGTACAAATGTTTTCAACACTGATGATAGAGAGAAATGTTTCTTGAGCAGCAAATCAGCATATTAAAATTGTTTCTGAAGGATCATGTGACCCTGAAGACTGGAGTAATGATGCTGAAAATTCAGATTTGCATCACAAGAATAAATTACATTTGAACACATATTCCGGTTGAGACCAGTTATATAAAATTGTAACAATATTTCACAATATTTTATTTTTGATCAAATAAATGCAGCCTCGGTGAGCATAAGGAGGTGTATTTCAAAAACATTTACCACAAAAAAAATGTGTGTGTATGAGCTCAATGGGAGAAATAATAGCATACAAGTTTGGAGCAACATGAGGGCGAGTAAATAATGACAGATTGTAAATTTTTGGGTCACTACTCCTTTAACATTATGTTCAGAGGGGACATCTGACATAAAACAGACATGAGGGTATGGATGGATAAAGATCACAATGAGAAGTAAAAATAAATGCATTGTGGTCTGCCCAGAGTGGACGTGCCAATGCTCCCTTCATCCTCTGCCTATATCCCCCAGCACCAAATATGAATTCACAATGTTGACAGAACAACAGAAATGCCTCTACAAACCAGTGAAAAACAAATCTTTGTGCAGAGACAACATCAGGACAGCAGAAACACCTCTGCTGTGGGCTGGAGTGGCACATCCTGATTTAGCAGCGACTACATCAGCACTGCACCAGCAGAGCGATTCCTGTGCTACAATTTAAATTGAATAACACTGTCTGTCATAAGCAGACCCATGATATTTTTTACACAAATTTTAATTGTGGAAAATCTGAGGAATTTTGCGTAACTGATTTAAACATTAAAATATTTTATTGATAGCTGAATAATCAAGTTAGGCAAAATATTTCACAAACAAACATCTTATGTGTGAACACAGGAGGGGAATGTGTAGAGCTTAGTGAATGATGGCTGTTGAATGAGGCACTAAACATCCTATATCAGTTCTTACTATTCAAGTAAAAAATACCTTTATAATCTTTGGTGAAAATGTTTTAAGATGCTCTGCCTCTGCACCGGCTTTGCTTTTCAATCTCTCTGACTCCACTCTGGTATGTAATGCCCTCTTTTCATGATCAAAACATTTTGATTAAACACTATAAACAGTAAAAACTACACAGATATCTAGACATATCAAAAGTTTGGACACACTAAACTGAATTTGCTTTTTAGATCAGGTCCTATCTTTACATTTTTGCATGGAATAATATAAGGGAAGAACAGCAAATATCTGAGTATTTATAGCGTGAATGTAATACATATATGTATATGTGTATATGTGTAAAAAAAAAATATATATATATATATATGTGTATGTGTAGATATATATATATATATATGTGTATGTGTATATATATATATATATATATATATACACACACATAATACATATCGGTATTTGTTGGCCTGTACACGGTCTTTCAAAAAATAAACGTAATTCAATGATGTTAAAACAAATGACAGTTTTATCACCTTTGATAGTTTACAAATCAGTCTTTATGCACAAATTTCCGTATAAATTTATAATTTTAAATGGATGTTGGTGCAGATAATGAAAGAAACACCATTAACAAATGTCCAGCATACATGGATGCATTTTCATGAAGTTGGCTGATGAAATGCATATATGTGTAGTTCAAATATGAAGTATTATTTTGGTCTCTACGTAATCTCATACTTTCAGTTGTGTTATTTCATAGTTTCCATGACTTTACTATTATTCTAAAATGTGAAAAACAGCAATAATAAACACTGTGAATGTGTGTCCAAACTTTTAGAGTACTAAAATGAAAAATCGGAGAAAAAGAAGAAGAGCATAAGCGATCTTTTATTCATCAGCGCCTCTCCCTCCCTCTTTGGTCCAGGCATGGCGTCTGCTTGTCGGTACTGATATTATTACTATTATTATTATCATCGTCATCAAGCCCACAGTTCTGGGCCGTGACCACAGCACTGACCCCGCTTGACTGCCGCTGCAGAATCCTGGAAGCTCTCCATGCCTGGATCCAGTCCTGTTATTTCAACACACGTTTCGCAGGACTAACGCACCCCTCCTTTCGTTCACAGAACTGAGATCTATAAACACAGTTGACGGTTTACAAATTGAGCTCCAACGAAATGGCATCCAAGGAGCAAGTTTGCCGAATGGCTACCATTATTAAGCTGACACAAATGACGTATATTGCATAATTACAGTCATGGGAAATGCTGTTACATATTGATTTTACAGTTGGCCCCTACCGACTCCACCGAAGTGTCAAACTGATTAGTAAGTGTGATAGTAAAGTGTCATGACGTGGTCAAATGGAGTGGTTCCCGAAACCCACTTGTGGTGATGGATCTCCATTGGACTTCACTCGTTCTGACCCGGAGTCAAATAACCTGCTGCAATTTTGACACTAAACAGACTGCATTTGATAAGCCCAGTCAGCTGTGTTAGGGGAAGGTTGGCTGAACCTACAACTTTGTCGGGAGGTCCTGTCAGATTGGCTCTGGAAAAGGGAAGAGCTGCCAGTGTCTTTGAGTATTTACAGGTTCAACTACAGGATCTTTTTGAACATGTGCAATAGAAAAGGTGACATAGTGGATGAATCTCACAATGTTTATAAACTGATCAGGGTGAAATTTTATCCCCGAAAAAAAAGGAATTATATGTTGCTTATAGAAAATGAAGCCTAAATAGCTTAAAATTTATACATGAAAAATTGTAAAACGTATATATTATTAAAATGTTTTCATTTAATTAGTAATATGTACAAAAAAAATTTTGATTCATTATTAAAAATATTTCGGTTTTGTTTGTATTATTATTATTATTATTATATAAATGTTACAACTTATCAGGGTGAAATTTTAATCAAAAAATCAAGGAAAAAACCCAAGAAATTATATATTGCTTATAGAAAATAAAGCCTAAATTAGACTTAAAATAGGATATAAAACGATTCAATTATATATTTTAAAAATGATAAAAAAATTATGTTATAATAATAATAATAAAATAATAATAATATTCAAATAATTTTTTTTAACAATTAAAACTTAGTCTTAAGTCTTATAATTATATATATATATATATATATATATATATATATATATATATATATATATATATATATATATATATATATTTATATATATATATATATATATAATTATTAGTATTAAATTATTATCATTACATTATTAATATTAATAATTTAATACTAATAATACATTTGACAATTTATTATTAAAAATCTCATTATCGTATTAAAAATATACATTTAAATAAATATTGAGCTATTAATATTGAACAGTATGTGTTGGTATTTATTGGATTGCCTGTTGGATTGCAGTTTTTAATAAAATCACTCTAAATCGATGTTAAATGAGTAAAGAGAAAGTAAAGCAACGGACGAGTCACAGTAATTACATTTAGCTGAGAAAATGTGCTTAACTGTCATCAAAAGGGTAAAAACAGCAAATATAATAATAAATAAAACTTTTTTTCTTTAATATTTTTTTAATATTGACCAAAAAAAAAAGTATATATACATATATATTTATTTATTTATTATATTGTAATTTATGCAAGTTATTTGGGAGTGCGAAAAGTTACCTAGACATTTTTTATGAGATGCACCATGATAGTGGATTTGCTTTGTTCCGGGTTTACAATCCTGTTGAAGGCTCACCTGCTCGGGCGTTTTCATTGAGACGAGAGTAAGCAGAGATATCAAGGCGAGGAATGCATCTCTCGATGGTCAACCAAGTGTACGTTTCAGGGCACAGGAGGTCTGAAGGCCGGTACTGACCCTACGAATGCAAAAACAAGAAGTAGTAGTACTTGGTCAGTGCATTGCTATGTCAAATTCTGTAGATTTTCTGCAAAACCAGGAGAAAAAAAGAGGGGAAAAGCAGATGGCCTCCTGGGCCTTGAGTTTAGGGGGCTGCTGATAGTCATACAGAGCCAAACATATACACACGCACCATTGTGACCGCAGTGTAAACAAGCAAACGCCTCAGCACAGTTCTCTGCATCGCTTCAAACGCGGCTGAGCCATTTCTGGCCAAGGCAAAAGTTCAGTGTCATGCTGCACGCAAAAGCCCGCTCAGATTATGTGGGTTTAGTTCAACGAGAAGCAGCCTGGTTAAAGTCCCACCATTACTGGCAGGATCCGTCTGTCATTATCCTGCAGTGGAAACTATGTGTCCTGGTTTTACAAGACAGACAACATGGGAGCGAGGGTGTTTCACACCCGTGTACATCAGCGGACTATACAGACAGCCCTAAAGAGTGAGGTGACATATTCAGAGCGTATACATATATATTTATTTATTTATTATATTGTAATTTATGCAAGTTATTTGGGAGTGCGAAAAGTTACCTAGACATTTTTTATGAGATGCACCATGATAGTGGATTTGCTTTGTTCCGGGTTTACAATCCTGTTGAAGGCTCACCTGCTCGGGCGTTTTCATTGAGACGAGAGTAAGCAGAGATATCAAGGCGAGGAATGCATCTCTCGATGGTCAACCAAGTGTACGTTTCAGGGCACAGGAGGTCTGAAGGCCGGTACTGACCCTACGAATGCAAAAACAAGAAGTAGTAGTACTTGGTCAGTGCATTGCTATGTCAAATTCTGTAGATTTTCTGCAAAACCAGGAGAAAAAAAGAGGGGAAAAGCAGATGGCCTCCTGGGCCTTGAGTTTAGGGGGCTGCTGATAGTCATACAGAGCCAAACATATACACACGCACCATTGTGACCGCAGTGTAAACAAGCAAACGCCTCAGCACAGTTCTCTGCATCGCTTCAAACGCGGCTGAGCCATTTCTGGCCAAGGCAAAAGTTCAGTGTCATGCTGCACGCAAAAGCCCGCTCAGATTATGTGGGTTTAGTTCAACGAGAAGCAGCCTGGTTAAAGTCCCACCATTACTGGCAGGATCCGTCTGTCATTATCCTGCAGTGGAAACTATGTGTCCTGGTTTTACAAGACAGACAACATGGGAGCGAGGGTGTTTCACACCCGTGTACATCAGCGGACTATACAGACAGCCCTAAAGAGTGAGGTGACATATTCAGAGCGGGCTGATGACAAGCAAGCGAGGGTCACTGGATTTGAAGCAATGCACGAGAATTAGTTTGAATTTTAGAGTCTGCAGACCGACGTCTGCACATGTGTACAAAATTAAAGAAAAGAGAACAAAGCAAGCTCCAATAATGCACAATACAAGCATGCGTACTTTAAAAAAGTATGGAATTTTAACACACACAAAAAAGTAATTCTACACGAGTACAAAATGAAAAACAGGATTTTTTTTTACTGTTTGGAAATAAAAGCGAGAGTTGTGCAGGTATGTGGAGGTTAGTCAATCGTAAAGCTCTTTTATAGAAAATTCTTAAAGGTACAGTAGCAAAAACAGTGTAAGTGTTGTAAGGGTCAAAGAGTGGGTGGATAATGGTCATGCAATGCTAAATCACAACTGTTCTGGTGTGAGAAACCTTGACTAACGTTACAATGGACTTCAGGGGAAAGGAATAAAATGCTACAAAAGTACAGAATATGACCCCTTTAAAGTGAAGGATGTGCTACAGATATTGGGATATGCTCAAGTTGAACGTCACACTCCACGGCCCTTAAATGTGCAGCTTGCGATCATGCTCTGGAAAGGAATCTTGGCTGCTGGTACATGCAAGAGCCTGTAAAGAGATTCTGCAAAGATGCAACTTCCATTATTGGGGAAGTAACCAGAACAAACAGATGATCCATTCAACAAGCCAAACTAAAAACAAGAGAAACAGTCCAAAAAGTGTTGATTTTTTTTGTTCTTGATCATTAGCCAATTAAATGAAAGAAAGAAAGGATTTTTTTTTTTATTTAAAAATAAAATGAAACAATACAAAATAAAATAAAAACTAAATAAATGAAATAATAATGAAAAAACATCTTAATAAAATGGTATATATATATATATATGTTTTCTTGATCATCAGCCAATAAAATAATATGAAAAAGGACAAATTAAAATAAAATAAATAGAAAATAAAAAATAATAAAACAACTATTTATTTATTTATTAATAAACCAGATTGCAGGATAAAATAATATTAGATATTAGATAAAACACACCAAAGTTTAACCATCTCCTTGCTTTTAAAATTATGCATAGGATTTTTTTAGAAATTAAACGATTGTGTGTCCGATTTCAAGTTCTAGTTCCTTAATGGTTCTGCAGGTTTGCATTTCATGTGTCTAGCAACTTTATTTGAGATCTCTATTAAAGCTAATAAATGTAAAGATTTAGTCACGTGATTCTGTCCCTCTTTTCCTTCCTATTACAATGAATGAGAAAAGCCTTCTCTCCACATAGCCTGTCCCCAAATCGCTCTCTTAAGATTCAGTGTTTGCACGCAAATGCTTGATCTAAAGATCACCATTTCAAACAACACACCAAAGTTTAACCATCTCCTTGCTTTTAAAATTATGCATAGGATTTTTTTAGAAATTAAACGATTGTGTGTCCGATTTCAAGTTCTAGTTCCTTACTGGTTCTGCAGGTTTGCATTTCATGTGTCTAGCAACTTTATTTGAGATCTCTATTAAAGCTAATAAATGTAAAGATTTAGTCACGTGATTCTGTCACTCTTTTCCTTACTATTACAATGAATGAGAACCGGAGCAATAAAACTTCAGTAATGCAAAAATAGTTCACATGACTCATCAACATGCCAATGGGAACTAGGCTGGATGTCAGTGCACAGCACGTTTATGATGCTTTTATGGTGCTTATTTCTTAAAGGGATAGTTCACCCAAAAATACACAAAACGATCATTCTGTGCAAGAACCTTAATAGTATTTATATCGTTTTTTTTACCTCTGATTTTCACCGCAATGTCCGAACTGTCCAGAGCGCGCTTAACAGCCGGCGCCTGACGCATCTTCTTCTTCTTCTTGCTTTACGGCAGATCGCAGACTTATAAGTGCATTACCGTCACCTATCTCTCAAATGGACCATTGACACTCTATCTACAATCTCAATTAGGAGTGTTAATGGTCCATTTGAGAGATAGGTGACGGTAATGCACTTATAAGTCTGCGATCTGCCGTAGTCAGAGACTGATCGTTTTGTGTATTTACACATCAATGTATCATCACAAGCCGCAGGGTTTCATTTGGTTTTGTTTGTGTATGTTTTATGACTCTCAAAGCTATGATTCCCATCCACTGACATTATACGACTGACAGACTGCAACGGTTTGAGTTAAAAATCTTCGTTTGTGTTCTCTGAAGAAACAAAGTCACCTACATCTTGGATGCCCTGGGGGTAAGCAGATATACATCAAATTTGCATTTTTGGGTGAACTATCCCTTTAAGTTTAATTATAAGGAATATAGGCCTACTATTCAAAAGTTTGGGGTTGGTATGATTTTTTGAAAGTTTTTGAAAAAAATGTTGTCTCTTCTGCTCACCAAGATTGCATTTATCTGATTATAAATAAAAACAGCAATATTGTGAAATATTATTACAATTTAAAAATAAGTGTTTTCTATTTGAATATATTTTAAAAAGTAATTTATTCCTGTGATTCAAAGCTGAATTTTCAGCATCATTTCTCCAGTCTTACGTGTCACATGATCCTCCAGAAATCATTCTAATATGTTGATTTGCTGCTCAAGAAACATTTCATATTAAAAAGAAAGTTTAGCTTTTTTCAGGATTCTTTGATGAATAGAAAGCAGTGTTCATTTGAAACAGAAATCTTTTGTAACATTATACTGTAAATGTCTTTACTGTCACTTTTGATTATTTTAATAACTTCTTGCTGAATAAATCGATGACTTTTTTCAAAACCTCAAACTTCTGAAAGAGAACAAAAAAAAAAGAAAGAAAAGAAAAAAAAAAAAATCACACAGTTTTGGACTGACATGAGGGTGAGAAAATAAATGCCCATTTCATTTTGGGGGGAACTATTCCTTCAAACACATACTTTGGATTCAGTTTTGTGTCATGAGCACCACATCTGCACTCCTGCATGTACTGTATACATTTACACAGATGGGAAATATTGAATCAGGCTTTGAGCGCTGATTCACATGTACAGCAGAGAGACAATAAAACGTGTGCTCATCATCATGACAACACCTCTGATGCTTTTATTGCACATTTTATTAAGGTATTCTGTCCGCATCTGTGGAACAATGCAGATGTTCTATAAACCACTAACAGAACTGAACGTGGAGGAAATCAATGGGTTTCCAAATCTATTTAAATCCATTCCTGCTATCTCCTGGTAACCTGATCTGGCTGACGCCTGTATCTAAAATGATAGCAGAGGGTATCATGAAGACTAAAAAACAACTAAAAAAAGCCAAATGAGCAAAAGCGAACTACGTGGAGCATATTTTTTTCCCTTCGCATCCATAAATCCGTCAGTTCCGCTAGCTCAGCACAGCGCTATCAGAGGAGGATGTGATAGCACAGGCTGAAGGCCAGGTAAGGGGGGGAAAAGCAGCAAGAAACGACATGCTCTCTGTCCCACTCTCTCCAGCTGATCTAAAGCCACTTTTGTCTTCTGCTGAGGCAGGATGTGGTTAAGAGTCTGAGGGTACGAACTCTGATCCAACATCAGTTCATAAGCGGGGGGCGGGGGGGTTTGTGGGGGGGTTGTGAAGAGAGCTATGACGGCTGAAAGGATAAACTGAAACCAGTTTAATCCGTGTGTTTCTGTCTGCATTTCTCACTCCCCCACCAAGTCCTCAAGTCCTCCTGGCAACCTGCTTTCTCACGACAATGAAGGTAATGTTGACAGACGGCCCGCACTCGCTAAGGCTCATTGACATCACCATAGCGAGGAATACAGAGGATAAAGAAAAGAAAATAAGAACTGTGTTTGAGAAGCACCTTTCGTCATATCGCATGAATAGCTGTTTAAAGAAAATACACAATAATAAATCAGAGATAAAATCAGAAAGCTCCAAAAACACACACATGGATGTGGCAATGACAGACGCAATGTCACGGATGACTGGTTTAGATAAAAACCAATCAAGCTGAAGAAGAAACATGGATATGCAGGTATGTTTTGGTTTAATTTAGTAATGCACAATTGATATCAATGACTCCAATTTCATAAATCTCTGCATTGGTCCAATCAGGTTGAAATTAGAAACAGATAGAGTTTTTTTCCACATTAAAAGTCGTTTATCCATTTTTACTGTATATTATAATGTTTTGATGGGACTACTTGTAATCACGGTCTTAAAACTGTGAAGGTCTAATTGCTCAAGAGATGCTATTATATATTCCAATTTAATTTAGGCACCAATTCTCACTATTAACTAGCTTCTTATTAGCATGCATATTTCTAAAATATTGGCCGTTTATTAGCACTTATAAAGCACATAATGCCTTATTCTCCATGACCATATTTTAGATCCCTTATTCCAACCCATACCTAAACTTAACAACTACCTTGTTAAGAGCAAATTACGAGTTCATTAAGACAAAAGTTGTAGTTAATAGTGAGATTTGTTCCCCAAAGTTAAATGTGACCCCAAATTTTTATTTGAATTTGAATTAA